ATAGAATTTAATTCAGGTTCCAATTTCCCATTGTTGTTAGTTCGTACTTGTTTTTGGTGAGTGTTTTCCATTTTATTAAGTAGTTTTAGTTTTTTGCTTATATAATCCTAGCCTTAAAATCCTGCTGACCCTTCCTGATCGTTCCTGATCCTATGCTAAATGGGGAAGGGGGGCCTACGGGTCCTCCTAATGATTTCGTTCGAAAATTAGCCCATATTTTATCGCCCCAAAATTACAATTTAATTTTGAGCTTTTCAAAAGGTACATGTCAAGAAATACCCGTAAATGTCATTAAGCACCTGGAAGAGGAACTTTATGGAATTAGAAATAAATTTATAGATGATGTTGAAGTACAGCAAGAAATTTCTCAATGTTTTTTTAATATTAGGAAATATACAAATAAAATTTCAGAGTATGATATTTCTGCTTTTCCTCCCTTCCTTGCAGTTATCCAAGGTGAACGTTCCCTTCATCCGATGAATGTTGGAAAATATTTATTTGAAAACAAAATTGAGGGAATTAAAAAAATCGAAAGTAAAGGGAGAAATAGAATGGGCATATATTTTAATACTCCTGAACAAGCTAATTCATTTGTCAATAATAAAGAAATTTTAAATAAAAATTGGGTAATTACTATTCCTCCCAGGATGATCACTTGTAGAGGTGTAGTGTGGAACATGGGTGATGATATATATGAAGAAGATATTATTAATTATGGACTAGGTATAAGGGGTAATTCCAGAATCAAAATTTTAAATGCCCGTAGAATTTATAAAAGATCTCGAAATGAAGATAATACCATGACAAGGAAAAGGACTAATTCCTTTATTATTACATTTAAAGGTAATCAAGTTCCTTTGGATTTGGAATTGTTCAATGTTTTACGCGAAATTCATACTTATAAAATTCCAGTAATTATATGTCATAATTGCTACAGATTTGGACATAGAATTCTGCAATGTAGGAGTAGGAAAAGATGTATTAAGTGTAGTGATACTCATGAAGATGATGATAGATGTTCTTTAAATCAATTAGAAATTAAATGTATTAATTGTAAAGAAAATCATTATCCCACTAACAAGGAATGCAAAGAATTTAAAAGGCAATTTATGATTAATGATGCGATGGCTAAGCATAACATATCTTTTTTTGAAGCAAATAAATTATTTCCAAAGGAACACGTTTCTTCTCCAGATAGTCAGCATTTTCCCGAGACTTTAGTTAATTTGTCTGTCCCTAGATCTGTAAAGAAGCATCATTATATTTCTACCTTAAAGAAAAGTAGACCTCGTTCTCCCGTTTCACAGAGGATACAAACCAAAATATCTTATAAAGACATCCTTTTTCCTGATTCGGCTAGATTATCATCCAGTCCAATTTTAAATAATTTATCACAATCTGAAAATAAATCCAAAATTGATGAAAATATAGATGCATCTATGGAGGTTGGAGAGTCATCCAATTTTAGTTTAGAATCATCTAGCCAAAATATTGTTCAGTCTCAAGAAAGTTTTGTAGATAGTTCAAGTTTAAGAAAGTTGATAAATGATACAAATGTTAAAACTAAAGATAAACATATTACAAAGAAGTCAAAAAGAGCCATATAAAAACTTTATTTTTTAAATTCTTACATGTTATATTTACTTTATTATTTTATGGTTATTTACTCTTATTTATGTCCAGTCAGGTTTAATTTTGTTATTTTTTATAATGTTTAATATTTATATATGATTATTATTTTATGGAATATTAGAAGTGTTTTGTCTAACAGAGATACCTTAATGAATATCATAAGAGATTTTAGTCCTGATATTATTGGATTAAATGAGACATGGCTAAATAGAAATAATTCGTTTAATATTTTGGGTTATGTTTGCTTGAGGGCAGATAGAGATGATGGAAAAGGTGGCATTGCCTTTTTAATCAGGGATTCGATTCCATTTAATTTAGTTGATATAAGCAATATTTCAGTTCCAGCAAAATTTCAACATAAAATTATTGAGTTAGAAATGTTTTATCTTGCATTAATTTATAATCCGCCAGATTCAAATTTACCTAAAAATTTTTTCACTCATCTGACTGCTTATGCAGGGGTTGGGGTGAAAAAGTTAATGTTAATGGGAGATTTTAATGCCCAACACATGGCGTGGGGTTCAGATGTTAATAATAGCAATGGTTTTATTCTTACTGACATATTGGAAACTCATAATTTGACTTTTTTGAATAATGGAGATGCCACGCGGATTACTCCTCCCAATCAGCATAAAAGTGTTCCAGATTTAATTCTGGGAAATAATTCATTACTACAAGATTATTCGTTTGAGGTTTTGTCAGATTATATAGGTATGAGCGATCATCTTCCCATTCTTTGCAAGAATGTATCAATGCTTTTAAATAACAATAATTTTTTAAATAGATACAATACTAAGAAAGCTAATTGGCCTTTGTTTTATGATTGCTTGACGGAGTATGATGGTCAAAGTAACAGTTTGTCTTATCATCATTTTGTTCAGCAGATTAAAAATGCGGCCAACAAGTCAATTCCGGTAAATAAGAAAGAAAAGAGACTAGGTAATCCTTGGTGGGATAAAGATTGTGATATAGCCTGGGAAAGTAAACGAGCAGCATTTAAGACGTTTAAAAGACAGTTTACGGAGAAGAATTATATACTTTTTCGAAAGGCTAGAGCACAATGTCGAAAAGTTCTCAGAGAAAAACGAAAGTTAAGTTTTAATAATTATTGTAGTAGTCTATCTCCATTAACACCTATTAATGAGGTTTGGTGTAAAATAAAACGTTTTTCAAAATCAATTAATCAAATTTCGTTAAGAAAACCTTTGAATTGTTCCATTGCTGAAGATATGCTTGCCCTTTTAGCGCCCCCAATTATTCCAGATGTAGATCCTGACATTTTATTTCAAAAGTGTCAGAGTTCTAATATTTCTCTTGAGGAGACACAGGTTGCCATATTTAGAAAGCAGAGAGATTCTGCTCCAGGCATTGATCTAATAACTTATTCCATGATCAATAATCTTCCTTTGAATCATATTAAATTTTTAGTGTACTTCTTTAATCAAGTTCTTTATCATTCAGAATTAATTCCAGACGATTGGAAAACAGGATTAGTTTGTCCAATTCCTAAACCTAATAAAAATTTAAATAATATTAGCGGTTACAGGCCAATTACTCTCACATCTTGCATAGGGAAAATTATGGAAGATATAGTGAAATGTAGATTGGATTGGTATGTGGAAAACCACAAAATTCTCAGTGATTCTCAGTTTGGGTTTAGAAAAGGTAAAGGAGTTTTTGAAGCATTAACTTCTTTATGTTCATCGATAATTTCTGGACTCTCATATAATAAATTTTCAGTAATTGTTTTTTTAGATATGAAAAATGCATATGATAAAGTTAATATTTCTATTTTGATTCGTAAATTAGCTGAATTGGGTATTGAAGAGAATATTTGTAAATACATTAAAGAGATACATACCAACAGGAAAATTTATATTGTTGATAATTTTTCAAAAAAATTGATTGGTCCTGGTTTTACTAATAAGGGTTTAGCACAAGGATCTCCTTTAGCTCCAATTTTATTTAATATTTATATTAATAATGTTAGTGACTTTATTGGGGATGATGTTAAATTAATTCAATATGCTGATGATATTGCTCTCCTGGCTCAAGGTTATGATATAGATTTGATAGTTAATAAATTAAATGTTACATTGGACAGTCTTGAGGAATGGGCGAGATTAAATGAAATGAGTTTTTCTCCTGAAAAATCTTCCTGTATTTTAATTCAAAGAAAATTTTATAATCGTATTTTACCAGATATTAAATTTCAAAATCATGTTATTAGATGGGTTGAATATGTTAAATATTTGGGTATTTTTATTGATAATCGGTTTTCTTGGAATCATCAAATTGAGGCTATGTGTTCTAAAGCTACTAAGGGTATTAATTTAATGAGATATTTTTGTAAAACCTGGTGGGGGGGACATCCAATTACTATGTTAAATTTTTTTAAGTCCTATATTCGGTCACATTTAGATTATGGTAGTATATTATTAGCTAAATGTTCTAAAAAGTTATTAGAAAAACTTGATAAAGTTCATTTTCAAGCCTTACGCATTTGTTTAGGGTTTATGCGTTCCTGTCCAACTAATATCATTTTATCAGAATCGGCAGAACTTCCCCTTAATATTAGACGTAATTTTTTGGCCACTAAATTGCTTTTAAAAGCATTCTCTATTCAGGATAATCCCATTATTCAGTCTGTTACAGAAGCTTATGGGGCATATAATCAATCATTTGGTTTTTGGTCAAGATATTATCATGTTCCTCCTCTTATTGAAGGCATTGATCAAATTTTTCCTCATGTTCAAGATGTTGATGTTGTTAATATGCATCATTATTATAAGTTTCCTCTTTATTTTAGTAAAAATGAATATTTAAGATTGGATTTAAATAAGAGTGAAAATAATTCTATTAAATTTAGAGAAGTTATTGAGTTAAAATTTAAACAAAAAATTAAGTTTTTTACGGACGCTTCTAAGGAAGTAAATAAAAATGTTGGAGTGGGTATATTTTGCCCGGATTTAAATTTGGAAGCCACCTATATGATTCCTGGATATGCTTCCATATTTGTTGGAGAAATGTTTGCTATTATGATGGCATTGAATGTAATTGAAAGCAAAGAATTGGAGGATTCTGTAATTTTTAGTGATAGTGAAAGTGCTTTACGAGCATTAGCAGCTTATCCAAATTTTAAGGACAGTCAAATTACATTTGCTACAAAACGTAAACTATTTGGGTTAAGAGAAAAACAATTTCGAATTTCATTGGCATGGCTACCCAGTCACACGAATATTTTGGGCAATGATAAAGCTGATCAATTAGCAAATATTGGAAAGACAAATGGTCGAGATGCTGAGATTAAATGTTGGTTTACTGATTTTATTCCAATTCTTAAGGAAAAGTTTTGGTCGTTATGGAAAGGCAGATGGAAGGAGATTTCTTGTACAAAAGGGAAAAATTATGCAGAAATTGTTACTTTTCCCTACAAAAGCATATGGTTTAGATCATGTAAAGATTTTCCCAGGAAAAGATTGACAACCTTCTTCAGAT